AGAGGCATAAGGTCTTTTTCTGATTGCGTAATGAGCTAGCTAGTAAATCAGGCGCTAATTATACACAGATTATGACCACACATAGCATGAAAGGTGCAGTGCACATTTGCTGTAACATTTTCAAGTGCATAAATCTGCCTCTCTTTGTTTTGACATGCCTATTCAGTTGGTACATATATAACTCACAGGTGACACAATCCAAACTGACAGCATCATATGCAGCCCGCAGCACAAAGAGGTGTCAGTAAATACATTTACATTCGGACCGACAATGGCCCGGCTCCCAGAGTCACGCTGCTAATAGAAATGATATGGATGCGCTCCAATTCCAACTCCTGTCACAGTCAATGTTCGTTGGATGCTATCAGAGTTTAGGGTTTTATCATTGTGGCTAACAAAGCTGATCTCATGCAATTGCCAACATCACCCTATTCTGTTAGCATAGGGCTTAATTTCCCACTGTCAATCATAACTGTGTTTCCATGGCAACAGTGAGGATCAATACAATCATGTACATTGAGTAACCCAGATGCTATCTCACATGAGTGATGAAGTGTGATATTTGCGTATGCGTGTATGTATGTAAATGCTGTCCTTCACAATATGTTTGGCTTCAAAAACCTTGTTCCAAAGATGGAGGATAACAGCTCCTTATGAAATATGATAAATATATTGTATGTGCAATCATAGATATTCTATTAGGCTAAAGTGCAGAGTATCTAAAAGGAGAGAACACACGGTGAAATGGTTCGTCAACATCTGCACTTTTGCTATAGTAAGTGACGCACTTAGCCAATGAAATGTTATGGGCTAACACAAAAGCATGGGGAATGCTCTTTTTACTCACTTTTAACTCTACACATAAACATAGCTTGGTTGGGGTCTGGAAAACGAGTTTACAGACTACCCACTTACCGAATGGGGTTACAGTGTGAAGCGATGTTTAATATTTAATTAACTCCAGTTGTACTACTAATTAGTGCTCCAGCTTTATTCTATTTGTTGTGTGTGCCAGTTATTCAATTACAAGATGAGGCTTGTGAAAAAGGAGAATTTGTGTTGTGATTTTCAGAAAAAAAGGTAGAAGTAGGACAGTCAGACACCTGCAGCTTGTACCACCTGTTCACTTGTTACTTTGCTTCATTTCTGCTGCTGTGACCTACTCTGATTGGATAACTGTACTTGCTCCACAAGCGCAAGTGAGAAATAAAAACCAAAAGATCAAGCTAAATAATGTGGCTACTGGATCTTATCATCATGTCATGTCAAGAATAAATCAGATAACAAGTTCTACATACAAATATATATTTAAGAAAATACAAAAACAGTTTGCGAACGCATAAAAAGTTTGATCTGTGCTACCTTTCCATTGATCAGTGTTGTGAGTCATGCTCTTTACATTTGAGACAAGTGTTATGCATGTCCCATATTCCTAATATATAATCATATCCCCAAACACATCCACACACACACACACACACACACATGCAGGCCTACTGTGCTTCCTGCCTCCCTCATGTTAACCCTGGGGGTTTCACTATGTGGAGCACCAAATGAGATCACGTCTCATGTCGAGGGGATAAGCCTCAGAAAGCAGAGCAAGACAATCTATTGCAAGGGAGTGTCCCAAAATGATGTGTGCAGGACTAGAGATTAGGACAGGTGTCATGTTGTACACAATGGCTGGAGCTGTAATATGTGCGGATAGTACGTAAAGGGCAAAGATCTTTGAGGATATTTTAGGTAATGCTATCTCTGTTACAAGAGCCCTTTAATGGATTGAACATTGAACAACAATTTGATACTTTTCAGATTTGTTAAGCCAAATCAAAACATGATTGGGATGCTTGTTACGACAAAGTGGTCTTTTGAGCGCATTCAGGGACAAATGTGTGTTTAATCAAATATATCACTGTTGAGGGTGGCTTCATTGATCGACGCAATTCATCTGTCACTCACACCTGTTTTCTAGCTTTCTACTCATGACCAGATTAGCCGCACTTTGATGCAGCGTTGTCTCCATCTGTTTTAACAATCTGTCAAACACATTGACAACCAAATGTTCTTTTTTGCTCTGTGTCTGCCTGTGAGCGGAAACAGGTAATGTAGCAGGTGCATAAGTTCATGAGATCTACATGATAATGGGCCATTTCCCACATGCTTTAGGCGGCACCATTTTCTGTAATAAGTGGATTAAAAAAAGAGGATGGACCTGATTCTCTCCTGTCACCTCTCGGGAGCGTGAACCGGAATAGTCTGGAATGAGCTCAATTCTCAGTTTGAATTTGGAGCACGAGGGAGAAAAGTGGCCTGTTCCTCACAGAGAGGGAGAGAGAGAGAGAGAGAGTTTTAATTTGTTGTTTCATGGAATATTGATGGGAATCGAGGGACTGTCAAACAGAGGAGAGATGGGATGAGATACGTATGAATCGTACTACAGTAGATAACAAAACGTTTAATATTAATTGAATGAAGCTCTTACTAGTTTGGAACGTAGACAACAATATGGAGTGTCTAGTCTGTGTGTGTGTGTGCGTGTGTGTGTGTGTGTGTGTGTGCGTGTGTGTCTGTCTGTGTGTGTGTGTGTGTGTGTGTGTGTGTGTGTGTGTGTGTGTGTGTGTGTGTGTGTGTGTGTGTGTGTGTGTGTGTGTGTGTGTGTGTGTGTGTGTGTGTGTGTGTGTGTGTGTGTGTGTGTGTGGAAAGATACAGACATCAGCATTAACTAAACCACAATTATAAGTACAGCTACTGTTGTACTGTGATAAAGGCTGCCACTAGTATACACTTACTACTAATTATATACACTGCTGGTAAACCTATTACTTCACTGTACTGTTTGCTAACAAACACATCACTTACTTGAGGTCAAGGACGTAAAACTTAACTGCCAGCTGCTCTAAACAAGCTTTCAAACTATAATAGGAATGAGGGTTTGGCCTATAGCAATGGATTAAATGTCTCCCATCATGAGTCTTCACATTAGGTGAACCTTTTGTACAATTATAGTCAGCTTTCCATCGGTGTGTTGGTTAAAAACCATCCTCATAGCATTCAATGCCTGTACAAGTTCCCCTGAGCCTAGAAACATACTTTTGAGGACATGCATGAGTTTGAGTTCATACGTTTACACATGCACATGTATGTTTGAGAACCATGTGTGCATTTTAGATGCCATGTGTGTAATGTGGGTGTAATTGTGTGTCTACCCAGCTACTGAGCCGGCAAGAGGACAATGTCTGTCATGATGCAACAGGCAGCTAATCCTCTCCTTATGTAAACGCCTGACTGCTATTCAGATGACATGCAGATGGGATAGAGAGCTTACGTTTGGCAGGATGGTGAAATAACAAGGAATGTCTGTGACAATGTGTTGTCAGAATTTGGGTGATTATTGCTGCACTTTGTGTTTAAAAAATATATCCTCCCCTGAGGACTGAGGAGGATTGGCAGGTGCGTGCATGTAGGTATCGGCGCAAGCTAGATGACCTCATAGCATTACCAAGCGGGGGACCAAGGGGGGATGACTAATGCTAAAAGGGGAGCTGTTGGGGCAATGCAGCGTGTGAAATATGAACATGATGAGAAAGAACACCAGCTGACGAAAAAAAAGAGTGGAACAAGCCCCGAAGAAAATTGAGATTAATTTGTGAACGCCTGCAGGTTCCATAAATGGGGTCCATCCTGAGAAAATGAAATGTTAAATGAATTTGGTGTAGTCTGAATTAATTTAGCATTTATTTTGATTCATAATTCAACTGTGTTTATTTATTCATTCTTCAGTACAAAAGTGCCATTAATATCATATATGTAAAACACTGCAATACAAATAACAAAAATAGGAGGTAATAGACATGTCTTGCTTTATCACCCAACCAACCTACAGCCGTTATGCACATTACAAAAAAGGGCTATAAGAGTTATCAATAATGTTGGATATCTTGAACACACTAATGTATTATTTTTGAAGTCACACATATTGAAGTTCACTGATCTGGTTAAATTTAAAACGGCACAAATCATGTACAGAGCAAGACATAATCTACTTCCTAGGAAATTAAAAACATTGTTCATAGACCGAGAGGGTGGGTATCATTTGAGAGGAAATCTACATTTTAAACAACTCAAGGTCAGAACAACTCTGAGAAGTATGAGTATAACAATCTGTGGGGTGATTTTATGGAATGGTTTGGAGCAGGAGTTAAAACAAAGCACAAGCATAATTCAGTTTAAAAGGATGTACAGAAACACTTTTTTGGAAAACTATGAGAATGAAGAGAGGTGACTGAAGATGAGAAATGATTGTATATGTATGTATAAATGTAAGGAATAACTTGCACAATGACTTAAAGGACAATCATTGATCAAGTAAGGGGTGGGAATTAGTAAGCATTTGCTTCCTCCTACTCCCTTTCGGACACATATGATTTTTTTAAATTATTATTATTATTATTAATATGAAGACTTTTTTTGTTGAATATATAAATATTATCGTGAATGTGGATAAATACTGTATTTTAACAATACGGTATTCTGTTTTTCACATTTGTTATTTTTTTATTTTTTTTATTTTTTTAATCTGTTCGAAATAAAGATTGAAATGAAATGAAATCACCTGTTTTGCTTTTACTTTCTTCTCATATTTCTTTTTTTATTCCCTTTCTAGATTCTCCACTATTCCAAGGTTCCATCCACTTGCGTGAGTCACAGCTGAAGCTGAAGGAGAGACTATGAAGACAAGCTGTGTCACCCCACATTGCAGCCCAACAAGATATGACATAACATGGATCCCCTGCTAATCACCAAGATGACCATACAGCTGTGACTGGCATTGTGAAGCCTTCACCCCTTTTTCAGCAACCAGCCCGGACCCTTTTCATTTTTGGAAATCCTTTCCGAGCAACCATTGTTGCTTCCCTTTCTCCAACAAAACAACCTCCTTTCCTGCCTGCCCCAACATTTTCTCCTATATATTCTAGCTTCCTCTCTTTGATTTCTTTTCACCGGCATCATGCAGGGTGCTTTTACCACCTCCACTCTTCTTTTTCTTATTGTCCCCTCCCTCCTACTCTTCTCCCACTTTCCCCACATGGTCAATGGAGACTGCTGGCTCATTGAGGGGGACAAAGGCTATGTGTGGCTTGCTATCTGCAGTCAGAACCAGCCGCCGTACGAGACAATCCCCCAGCACATCAACAACACTGTCCATGACTTGAGATTGAATGAGAACAAGTTGAAAGCTGTGCTCTTCACCTCTATGTTTCGCTTCACCAACCTGACTGACCTCAACCTCACCAAGAATGAAATCACCCATATCGAGGATGGAGCCTTTGCAGGACAAGCCAACCTACAGGTGAAGGAGGAATGAATGATAAAAGCTTTGAGCTGAACACTATAATATAGTACACAATGCATTACACCTTATATTGAGTCTAGGACTTTCACTTTACGACAGCTACTGTAACAGCTTGAGCTTGATTCGATTTATTGTAAATAATGACTTCCATAACTACATTTCAGTGAATTGTTCTCGTTAATTATGAAACTGAGTTAATTGTAAGGATATTTTAGCTGAACGCATGAAAATGCATAAGAGGGAGACCAAGATTATTGAGGAGTATTATGAGTGATGGTAATAAAATGTTCCTCAATAACTTGAGTTGCAGACATAATTAAACTAACCACTCAGTCATAGGGTTGAGTGTACTAATGTGTTATACTTATAAGTTCTCCAGATCTCCTAGTTAAAGTACACAACCTCAATGATTGGCAGAACAACTTAACAAATGAAACATTACTTGCTTAAATAGTCAACCGGACACAGTTAGACAATCAAATGGGTTGTCAACAGAAGCCCATTTCCCCATATGTATACGTGCTTATGTTGAAGAAAATCTAAAAACGAATTAAATTATCAAATGCTCCCTTGTGTTTTTTTCTCAGGTTCTCCAGCTCGGTTACAACAAGATTACCAACTTAACTGAGGGTATGATGAGAGGACTCGGGCGGATGCAATGCCTCTTCCTCCAGCACAACCTCATTGAAGTTATTGACAGCAATGCGTTCTGGGAGTGCCCTAGCCTCAGCAGCATTGACCTGTCTTCCAACAGACTTGGCCGCATTGACCCATCCACATTCACGGATCTCAATCGACTCATGGTGTGTGAACTGGCAGCAAACCCATTCCACTGCGGCTGTGAGCTCTACAGCTTCCTCATCTGGTTGGAGTCCTTCAACAATGTAACGCACACCTACGACCGCCTCCAGTGTGAGACGCCCCGGGAAATGTTTGGCTACCCCTTACTCATCGCCGCTGGCCATGCTGGTCGAAATGCTAAAAACATTTTGAACCATCACTGCAAAGATGGAGTGATGATTCCAGGGATGACTTCACTCCCACCAGATCTGGATGGTCCTTCCGGGATCGGACCAGATATGTTTGGGGCTATTGGGCCAAACTATCTGACCACCCCCCCTTCTGAAAACAGTCCCAGTATCAAGCTTCATCATGTCTCTTTGTCGTCAGCCTCTCTCCTTGTACAGATTCCAAGGCCCTACAGCAAAATGTATATTCTTACACAATACAACCACACATATGTGTCTGACGTTATGAATTTGAAGAACAAGAAGGAGAAGATTACCCTCGACAAGCTCAAGCCACACACCAATTATACCTTCTGTGTAGCATCCATACGAAACTCTCAACGTTACAACCACACCTGCCTCCAGTTTGCCACTCGGGCTCAAAATCAAGATGACCTGCTCCCCACACCTTCCACCACTACTCACTACATCATGACCATTGTGGGCTGCCTTTTTGGCATGCTCATTATTTTAGGCTTAGTCTACTATTGTCTTCGTAAGAAACGGAGGCATGACGACAAGAGGAAGTCCATCTGTGTCAAGAAAACTATACTAGAAATGCGCTATGGACCAGAAGTGGCCGCAGCAGTGGCAAATGATCCAATGGCAGTCCACAAGCTTCAGGAGCAGTCCAGAGAACATCACCAGTATCAGCACCACCATGGAGGCAAACTTCCCATGTCCCAATCCTCTAGCTCGGGAATGCTCCACTCAGCAAACACCAGTTCCTCCAGACTTTCCTCCATCCCACAAGTGGAAAAGATGGCTACTGCCTTTTCAGAGGCCCTTGCTACAAGTAAAGGAAACTATATGGATGTCAGAACTGGTGGGGCCGGGATGGAGCGATTGGGAGATGGTGGTCATGTAGGGATGGACATGAGGGACGATGATGGAACTGATATAGGAGATGACTCGGATGATGACGGACGTGGCTCTGCATCTGAGATTTCCACTATTGCCATGGAGGTGGACAAGGTTAACCAGATCATAAACAACTGCATCGATGCACTGAAGCTGGATGCGGCAGCAGTCGCTGCTTCAGGGGTCTCTAATAACCCTACAGCCTGCTCCAATCGCACCTCCCCTCCCCCCACCAGCACGTCCTCTCTGACTCGTGGCCTAATCCCACTCTCCCAAGGGTTGTCAGATTCGTGCCAAGTCAGTGCTCCCACCAAAATACCCCCTCCACCTCCACTCCCTGCCTTGAATGCCCCTCTCTGTGAGCGCCCAGGGATCAGTGGTGGTGGCTTCATCGTCAGTCCCCCCTACAGGCCTCCTCCACCAGCCTCTGCTGTACGTCCCATCCAGCGGCAAATGAGTGCAGATGCGGCTGTGATTATAGCAAATTCTGTCAAGAAACAGTCCAGCACCACCTCTTGTGGGTCCATGGGTCGGGACAGGGAACGCGGAGGAGCTAGGGTGTATAGCCTGGAAGTTTCTGAGCCTCGGAGCCCAGATGGCTGTAAACAGCCGCAGTACCAAGACAGAGCCAGTCCCGTGGGCTGTGGGGAGCCCCTTGAAAGGCTGCCCTTAGTGGGGAGTGGGAGCTGCGGTGGAGGGGGTGGTGGTGGTTGTGACAGTGGTGGTGTAGGTGCCCAACATCAGGACAACCAGAAGCAAAACCATTACCATCAACAACAGAAAATACACCAACAACAACAACAACAACAGCAGCAGCAGCAGCAGCAGCTGGAGGTGCAGCAGGACTACCACTGCTCGGAGCACCGCCACTCCGTCCCAGCTCTGTATTATGAAGGCTCCCACCAAGGCTCCCCAGCCCAGAGGGTTTCCTTCCTAAAGCCCTTGACGCGCTCCCGCAGGGATGCAGCATCTTACTCCCAGCTTTCGCCTGCCCGCCACCATTCCAGTTATTCCGGCTACTCCTCCAGCCCAGAGTACTCCTCAGAGAGCTCACTGCGGATTTGGGAGCGTTTTCGTCCTTACCGGAAAGGCCAGCGCGATGAGGCCTGTTATGTGACGGCCGGAAACGCCCTTAGAAAAAAGGTGCAGTTCGCTAAAGGCGAGGACCTGCATGACATCCTTGATTACTGGAAAGGGGTGTCCGCACAGCAGAAGTTGTGACTTTGGGACCAGAGATAGGCATTGTGGGAAAAATGGTTTGGATAATTCCCTTTCATGCCTGTGGGCTAGAGAAAGGATATGAGGATAATGTAGAGAACATTGAGGACAAAACGTCGCCTTTGTTATGTTTTTTGGCATGCTAGGTGTATAGAATATTGTGCTAAAGCAAGGACTGTGAAACTGTGCCTGGGATTCGAGAATCATTATGGTGTTTTATTTTACACTTTGTTGTAGCACTATTTCTGGATCATTCTCATTTAGTGTTTGTGGGTTTTATTTATAGCACAGAAAGCATTTCCAACTGTGTAAAACTGTACTTTTCAGTGATCAGATGGACCGTCTTTATCAGTGCCACATTTCCATCTATGGATAATCACAGAAGGTAAATGCTGATATCCTTCATTATAAGCTGTTGTGATCCAAGATGTTGTTTCCTATTTGGTTTTGGGTGCTGTGTCAATTTGCCCTGGGATATGTTTCGACTTCGAGGCAAAGGGAGACTATGGATGGTGGGATCTGTGCTCTGTTGTCAAGTGACAGCATGCCGTTTAGTGAACACAGTTGTCAAATGCAGACCCTATCTCTTTTCATGCGGATGAGGTATTTGCACGTCAATAGCGTCTGTCACACAGAAAGAAAGGAGAAAAGCGAGAAAGCAGTCAAGAGGGCTTTAAGGTCCTGCATCATAAGGAAAACGTGAGGGAGAAAGAGATTCAAGTGGTACCTTTGCCTAAAATAATACTTTAATTTCACCCTGAAGTGTTCAACACATCTTTCCAACTAACACTCTTGCATGGTTCAATGAGTGGTGTAAAGAATGTTGTCCTGCAAATCCTTATTTGTTCTAAACAGCATTTGCCCATGTAATGATCAGAATGCGTGATTTGAAGTACAGAAGGCAACATTATTTGTATTTATGAATATATTTAAATGCTACTTACCTGTACAATAGAACGATTTAACCATGTGACAGATGAGCTCACACAATCCCCATAGAAAACATGTAATATACGTGACAATGGAACAGGAGAAATTGAAAGTGAGGATTTAAGAGAACAAAGAAAGAAAAAGCAAGGATATAAATATCTTTTTTCTGCAGCCACTGTGAATGTAAGTAGATTACAAGCAGGTTATGAGGAAATCTATTTGCACCATTCAATGTAAGCACTGGAGTACATTCCAAATCCTTTCCCTAATATTAAAAACGGGATGAGGCACAGAGGGAAAGGACACTTCTAATTACTGCCAACATGTCTGTTCTTTTCTCGAAATCAATGCTATTGATTGTCTATTGATAACTTAATTAGCCAACTTGTGACAGGCATGCTCGCTCGCACTTTACGCCTCCTGATTGTGTGTGTGTGTGGCTGTGTGGTACACAGTGGTTAGTGTAAGTGGGTATTGGCATGCCTTGTCAGAATATATTGTATGTGCCCAAATTTACCTAAATTAATAGTTGTCATATATTGTCTATTGGCTGGTTGTTTGAGTCTAAACAATACTAGATTATTAAAGGCATGGACAAATGTATAAATCTCAACAATGTTAATATAATTGTCCATTAATGCTCAGACATACATACCACAGTAGTGCAGTGCCTCTTGCTAACACAGCCATAATCTAATCTCCATTCTTGTATAGTATTATCCACCCATCTGGCCTTTTCTATAAAACTATGTACTTGTGATTTTCCTAATGATAGTGTTATTGACAGGCATTCTGGCAAAAGGCATCCTGCTTTCCCAAAGTGCTGTATAGCCTTTGGATTTTTGCTTCAACTGCTGACATACACAATCTGAGATCATACCCGAAAAATGTGAAAAACTGAATCAGAGGTCCTTGCTCCACATTTTTGTTCAGGGCTTTATTCAACATTGTTTATCTCACTCCTTTTCTGTGGATGGTGTGTTTTGATCCATCTCCCACTACCTTCCCTGCTCCCATAGTTCCGATGGTTCAGCATGAGACACTTCCTGTTGTGTTTGATCAGATAGTAACAGTAAGAAATTGCCCTTCTTTACAGGCAAAGGTAATAGGATGAGGGTCTGTTCAACACGTATCAACAATGCTTGTTAACTTTTTTAGCATGCACTGAAAAAATCCAGGTTGAACCGGACTGAGTATGCAAAAATGGAAGGGTGGTGTGTTATGATCCCCCCCCCCCCATATTGATCTGTGTTTTTCTCCCTCTCTCTTTGTTTTCATGAATCTATCTCTGTCTCCTTTTCCTTGTCTTATAAAGATGTGTGCATACCGTCAGGGTCAGAGGTCATCGCCCCTTGGAGTCAGTGTTCTGATGTGAGTGTTTACAATTGATGGATTCAAGAGCCTCATGGTCACCTTTTAAAAATCGCGTTTCTGGGATGCACCACCTTATCCGCCTTCTTTTTATGATAAAGCACCATGTGATGAACAGACAGTCTTGGAAATGTCTCCCACTCGTCTCCAATTACCTGAGATAAGAACGTTTCCAAAGGAGCTTGTTTTACTGTGATTGACAAATCAGAAGAAAGGATTTTCTTTGGAGTTCTCAATCCCACTGAAGAAAATTGGTTCCCAGATCCTCAACTGCCATAATACGTTTACAGACATGGACACTGAGGATAAGCGTTTCAGCAAATTTAGAAATGTTCAGTAATATCAGGATTGCTCATCATTACAGCTGCCATTAATGTTCATCTATCTGACATGATCTATTTGACAGGAAATCCCTGGTATTACTGTTTTGATGGAGGATTTTTTTATTTAATACATTTTCTATTTTAATTAATATATTTAACACACACATATTTGCCAGGAAACTGATTTTCAGGGGGTACGAATGTATGTGCAACTGCTCTTCTGCTCAAATGTTATTCACAGATTGGTTTGTATTGATTTTTATTATGACACAGCATTACCAGCCCAACAAAGAACCCGATAGAGGGAGAAGTGCCAATGATTTAATGAACACCGTTTCACAATCGCTCAAATGAGTGCAATTGTTTTGGAGGATATTGTGTTTCTCAACCTTGATAATCACTTGAAAGCCTTCTGCCAAAATGACCACAAGATAATCATAGAGAATCCAAATGTCATTATATTTTCAATTGTCACTGCACGGGACAGCTTTGGATAAAACAGATAACATCCGGTTTGATTAACTTACCATCTGAATTATCAAATTACAAACAGGACATAATTAAATAATAATAATAAAAACAGTAATATTTCTCAAAGCATTAGCCATGTCCTTCCACCTGTTTTTGTGCCACAAAGCCAGCATCAAACAGAAAAAGCCTTCTCTTCCTTCCCATGCTGCTCATATCCTCGTTGAACCCCTGGAGGGAGGCTCAGTCAGTGATCAATGGTCCTTTTTGTAGCACCGTCCTTGTTGTTTGTCTCACAGCCACAGGAAAGCTAGACGTGAGAAAGCCATCTAATGTGCTATTAATGTTTCATCCTTTCTGTGGGTGGCTGGCTTGGGTTGCTTCCCCTATCTGTCTTTACCACAAGAAATCACAGATGGGTTCTAATTGTATTTCTTTGATGCTATCTTTTAACCAGTCTGGCCTGATTAAACTAAAATGTAGTTGTATAAATAATGAATTACAGCCCAAAATGGGGTGTGGGCTTATGTCTAATCAGTTTCTGAGTTGCTAAATGCTTTCATTAGTAAAGACCAGAGTAAAGGTTTTCCGTCCTTCCATGATACACTCCAGTTTTTATCCATGTCATGCGTCATTTAAGCAATCTCAATTGAGTGAGACTTTGCTTTTACGAGTGATAATCATCATTTGGATGTAATCTGTAATGATTTACTTGATCATCTTCTTACAAGGAGGCAAGAAAAATGTATACAAACTTGCATATTATTCTTATTTCTAAACCACAGAAGTAATATATTCTATTATGTAACCAAGAGGAAAGTGGATTAGACAATCAAGATCCAGCACATGAGAAAAACATTGCACAATGTTAAGTAATTCTTTAATTATAACATGTTGAATAACCGATGTTGACACCATCACACCAACAACAAAACGTGGTTTATTATGTGGCCAATGAGAGTGTTTTTAAAACGTTTTCCCTCCACAACAAACACACACACACACGGCAAGAGTAGTCGTCAAACATGGAAAATACAAAAGTGAGCCAGAATGAGTCACAGTCTGACTAAACCAAAAATGACTATTTTCCTGAAAGGCAGGTAATGGGCAAGGTCTTCAAAGAGAAGATAGCAATGGGAAGGGGATTTTTGGCTTAATGCACGCAGACATCTGGGATAAAGGATGTGGAAGCATGGCTACACTAAGACTAACCATGCATGATTCAGGGGGATGATTCATGTTGCTGCAAGAAAAAGAAAAAACACACACACACACACCAAAGGATAGAGTCACACACATAACAAAGAATACTGTGGGGACCGGTCTTAAAAAATATTCAAAAACTTCAGCACTTCTGACAACTCAAAGCATCCTTAATTGTGTTAAGCCAGCTTCATTTCCACTTAATTTCATGGCAGGTGACAGGCAGGTATATCTACTGAGAATAGGTTGGAAATAATTTAATTTGGTATCTTCAGACCTTTTATCTAATGGTCTATTAAGTTTAATATATTACTGTGCGGGAAATTGCCTTTGTGGATATTCTAAAACATTTCATGAAAACACCGTTGATCGTCTCATGAAAGCTACAGAAGGCATAATAAGATGTGATGAAAATGTTAAACGCATTTTTGTAAAATGTTGCTTTAATGCAACACTGTATTCATCTAAAATACGAAGAAAGGAAGTGATTTGAGACAAATGAAATATGTCTTGGCGTGACTGCTTTGTTGGTCATTCTTTAATGAGGCAGCTCTGACTGGCTTAACACTGCCAACGCTGCCTTTACACCTGCCAAGCAGTTTTTAAATCTACAATGAGAAGCCTGACATGTTTATGTTGGAAGCATTCACAAACGACTAGATGTCTTCATTCAAATATAGCAGACTACTCATGTCCAACCCGTTCACGTTTTAACATCTTGAAGAAGCATGCTGGAAAAACGATTAAAGCTATACCTATAATTTTTAAGGGTGAGAAAGTTTCTGGTGATTCTAAATAACGTATTTCTTTGAGCAGAAGAGCAGTTGCAAATCCTGAAAGAAAGCCAAATAACCTGATTAGTACACAGACACGTTTATTTATATGTATGCATTAACTGCAATGTTTAGTTTCCAAAGACGGACAAAAGACTTAAAGAATCTGTGAAATATCTGTGAATTTTGTACACTATATAAAAGAAAAAAAATGCTAAGGTTAAAAAAATGCTTCAATGGATGTTTTATACTCGGCCTGATCTCTTGATATGTCTGTGTGTTTCTCTTTTTTCAGTTGGCTGTTTGTCTTTGTTTACTTTGTCAGGGTTTTTCTTTTTGCGGGTGGGGCGGTTGGTTATTGGGAACCAAGGGATTGACTTTTAGTACTTGCAATGATATATGTTATAAAGGTTTATGAACAGAGAAAGCTTAACATAGTGTACTACATAAAAGAAAAGTTGTTATATTTGCATGATTCCCTGTATTTTTTGAGAGAAAAATATATTGTTGAGTGGACGTACATTGAAAAACAGAAACTATAGGGGCTAAAAAAACAATATTGTCAAGTACCTTTGATTTGAACTTTTAGGTTTTAAGCCGTTTTCTATTCTCTGTGACGTTTTCTATTTACATTCTAACCTATTGGTTTTTCATTTGGGTGATTGTATAATATAATGACACTTCAGCTACCATAATATTTGAGCCACAGGCTGGTGGCGAGTGCAGTGCAAAGGGGGTAAAAATGTCTGAGGCTTGTGGGTGTTCACATCCATCTGTTCTGAGAAACTGCATTCTGTTCTCCTCCATTACAACGATTATTCTCCATGGCAGACATGCAAAGCTATCTTCTTTGGCCCGAGGCGAGGCCCTGTCACAGTTGTTGTATTTTCTCTTTAACTAAGCGGCCTGCTTCATAGACAAAAAAAAAAATTCCCTACAAGTTTTGTACGATTAGAGACATACCACATGACAGTATAGGTTCAAAGAAGAGTCATCGATGTAGACACACACACAGCAGGTATTGTTTAATGGTATTAACCTAATCCAAATCCATCAGTTAGACGTCACTCTTAAATCAATGCAGCATCAGCAGCTTCTCCCTCAGACGCAGCCCACTCACTGTTAGCTAAATCACAGATTTTCATTCCCATCCTCTCCTCTCACAGCCTGCTGGTTTTCTAGCCAACTATAGTTGATCAAATTCATCTAACATCGTCTGTTGTAAATCAGTTATTTATCATTTTTACAATACTTTACACTGCTGAAAAGCCTTTTGTGTGCACGGAAAAGACTGTTTCTCAACTTGATTCAACACAAATAGATACCTGCACAGATATGGAAACTTATAATACACGTTACGTTCATAACTGAAGTCTTTATAGACACGATAGTATAAACACAGAGTGAAACAAACAAAGTATAAATGGTTCCTGTGGACAGAGTTGTGGCTTTAAGGGAGTCCGAGATGTGAGTACATTTCATTAGGCACCCAACCAATAG